GAAATATCTAATTATGTTTAATCCTAAAAACTGTTCAACAGATAGTCTAATAAATTAAATTTTTATAACGTAATATATTTCGAGATCTTTTGTGTATTGTTAAAAATAACAATGAAATTAGAATATAATTTCACGAATTATGAAATATCATATATCCATGCTTAACGGTGTTTTTATTCGAAATTAAATTTTTATCAAATATAAATAAACGGATATATGTGCACATAAGTTTTTGATATTATATCAAAAATTTTTGTACTGTGGATCCGATAAATTTTTTTAAAAAAAAAGGAAGGAAAAAAAGCCAAATCATTCTTTGTTATTGTAAAATTGCTCAAAGAAAAAGAAATTTTTCCAGTTTTCTTTTCTAGTCCCATATATCTTACATTTAAATGTTGAACTATTTTAACAAATTAAAATTACTTCTTCAAAATTTACTTCACTCTTTTTTTTCCTTTAAACTTCTCAAAATTAAAAGCTTTAAAAGTTGCCTTTGTATATTCACTTTTTATTAACAGCTTATTGGATTAACGATTTAAATTTGATGATTTCGTAGTTCTTTTATAATGTTTGCACATTGTTACCGTAACTTTTGAATTAAAAGTATACTATTGTAAACATTTCATCGATTATTTGTAAATTTCCTTATGTAAATTATACGGAATTGAAATAGAGTTTGAAATTTGTTCATATTTATTTACTCTTAAAGATATAATAACATTTTGCTCACATTTTATTGATACAATTTGTTTCAATTTTTGAATAGAACAATATTTTATCGTAATTTCTCCAGTATTTTTTTCTTTTTTTTTTTTGTAATAATTATATTTGTCAAAGCATCGCTTATAAGTGTTTCATATAAGATGTTACCTTTAAACAAAGTATATTTTATAAAATATGCCAATAATTTGAAAATGAAATGTTTAATTTGAGAAAATATTTACATTGTAAAGTACAGCATCACAAAAATTTTTTGATATTTGTAATTTTTGTTGTATTTAAATCTTTTCAAAATACAATATTTCAATAGTTATATTAAAGACTATAAATTACTGTTTTTTCGATCATATTTGAAATAGAAAACAAAAATTATTAAAATTCAAAGTATGTTTGTAAGCAGGAATAATTATGAAAATTTTATTGCATAAAATAATGATCTATGACATAAAGTATATTTACTTATACAATAGGTAATATAATTTTATAGCTAAAAATGAATTTTTAGATATTGAAAAAAGTTTTATTTCAGTTATGTTAAATCTTAAAAATTTTAAATATGTTAAATTTCTGAACTATTTGAAAAAAACAAAAACAAAATAATCCATGTAACCAACGGTAAATTCCTGTTCACATATATTATGATTAAAGATGATACAACTCCGAAGGAGATCAACAAACTGAGAATACAAATAATGGTGATAATGATGATTATGATTACGAATGATTACGATTATATTTAGCATGAATAAATTTCGTATTTTTGATATTAAATTACAATGGATTCGATTTATTGAAACGATAATGGATGAAAATCAATGATACATATATGGTACTGATAAATAATTATCATTTCTACCTATTGCTGAATGAATATTTGAGTGAGAAAAAAAATTTCGGTTATATTAAAATTTTAATCTTAACTTCAATTTTGAATTAATAACACTTGTCTTCTGCCCTCCAACAAACTTTTCGTTCTGTTGATTACTTTAGCAATAATATGGAATATCGGACAAAAAAAAAAAGGAGTACCTGGCTGATATTAAAAAAGTTTCACCTATCTTTAATTTGAAAGTTAAAAATTCTAATTGAGTTTTAGAAATTTCGAATTTTTAATCAAAATTTATCCTGCCACCGGTTTTTTGACTTCAAAAGCAAAAGTTAAAAAATGCAACTGTTAAGAATTTATTCGAAAATAAAATGCAAAATAAAAAATGTTTCCTATTAAAATATGATTTAATTTTGAAAATTTAAATTCGGGAGAGTATTTAATATTTTTAAAGTACTTTTGAAGATGGAGTTTTTGCATTTACTGCTTTTTTTCGATCAGTTGCAGGCATATTTTTCATCGCATCTTTTGATTCTTCCTCAATCGATATTGTTTCTTCCACTTTTTCCATCATTTTTTTTGGTGCTGAAATAAATAGAATTTTATTTATAAAATTTGTTATTCAAGTTTTAAGTTTAATTTTGAAAATTTTAACAAAAAAAATTTTTTTTGAGAATTTTTATAGAGTTTTGAAAAAAAAAGCGTATTGAGCAAAGTAATTAAACCTTCTAAAGTATCATCGGAAGTTTTCTGCTCATTTTCTTCATCATTTTCCTTAGAAATCATTTCATCCATTTCAGCAATTTTTCTTTCTGATTGCATTTCATCTTTGTTACGTTCAACTGAAAAAAAATTTACGAAATTTTTTTTCGTTGAAAATTAACAGTTAAGCGTTAATTAATAACTGATTTAATTATCATACAGATGCTTTCAGAAAGTTGACCTTCAGAATCTTCGTTATCATTTTGTTTATCACTTGAAGTATCACTTCCTGATTCATCTTGCTGTTGCTCTATTTGCAATGATACCGATTTTGTTTTTAATTCATTCTGCACTGTTTCAGTTTCGTCAACATTTTCTGGTTCTGATTCTTCCCTATCACTTTCCTCATTTATCATTGATAACGTTGAATCCTGTTCAACGCCTGATAATAATTATGATTTATGCCGAAAAAAAAAAAGACAATCAATGATTGTCCAGATTAGTTTAAATTATTTATTTTATTTTTTAGAAAAAAAATCAATTAAAATGAGCATTCAAAAATTTTATTTTTTTTATTTTATTTTTTTTTATTTTACTTATACTTATTGTTTTTTTCTTTTTTGTTGTCATTATTAAATGCATATAAAGAAATAACTAATAAAATAAAAGATTTTATGAGAAATGTAAAGTGTTTGATCTATTTATTAAATAATCGTACCAAATTATCTAATAGCATTTTAACTCAAAATTATGACATTTTAATCTAAGATTAAAAAATTGATGATGTTAATCAGGTAAATTGGAAGTATTTAAAAAGTATAACAAAATTTGAAACCTTTTTCTGAGCCATCATCTTGTGCCATAAATTCATCGGTACCTCTGCTTGATGATGTGTCAAATGAAATGGCGGCATCGCTGTCATCCACGTTATCGACTTCTAACTGTTCAGATTGCTTTGCTTGAAATGAGCAACAGTGAAATATTTTATTCATTTATTCGATTTAAGCCATATGAAATATTTTTGATAATTTATTTTAATTTCCGATACTACGTCATTATCATATGATACAAAACAGGAAAAAAAATTTCGTTTTTTTTATTAATTTATTCGATTTAAACCATACGAACACAGGTTTGTTTGTACAATACAAAAAAAATTTATCTAATTAATTATATCCATCAAATTATCCAATTTACATCTAAAATTTTCAAAATTGTTTACTGATTAATTAGAACGATATTTTTCAATGCTGTTAGATCTACTATCTCGAAGATTAAGATAGTGATGATAAGTTATTATTACTTTGATTGTTTGATTCAGTTTCAGATGATTCAAATGGTAATTGTATTGATGTTTGTGATACTAACGTTAACATCGATGGTTCATCTGTAAAACTTCAAATTAAAACTCGATTAGAAAATTGTTCTTTATTATATAAATATCAAATTTATAGTTTATTTTGGACTAAAAAAATATATGATAACCAGTGAATTGTTCAGGATGATTAACTGATTGCATCATAGCTGTATCAATCATTGTTGTCATCACTGATAACAAATCTGTTTCCTAAAAAGGGAAAACAAATAAGCAAGTAAGTAAATAATAAAATAACGAAGAAAACATAAATTATCACTTATATACAAATAATTAAACAGTTTAAAATTCATTTCAATTCTAAATTATATAGCTGATTAAAATGATAAAAAAAAGGAACATATAAGATTAGATTAGCATAATATTTGGATAGGAAATAAAATAGAAATTTAAAAAAAAAAAAAGAAAGTACCGGAGAAGTTGTAATACTGTCTTTTAATGAATCATTTTCTTTTTCCGCACTAATCTCTGCTTCTGGTGCTTTTGTTATAACTTGTCCCTGCTTTTCAATACTTCCATTAGTAATGTCATTTAATTTATCATCTGTATCACTCAGTGATAATGTATTGATCTGATTGTTGCTATTATTGTTCTTTGTTCCATTTTCACTTATCACCTTAAATAACTAATAATTTAGCAATAAAAAAAAGATTTTAAT